TAAGTTGGGAAACTCCCTTCTTGAGAGCACAGAGGCAGAAAGGGATCTTGGAGTCATCATTGACTCCAAGATGAACATGGGCCGACAATACGAGGTCACGGTCAGCAGGGCTAACCAGACCTTATCGTGCATCCACAGGTGCATCTCAAGTAGGGCCAAGGAGGTGATCCTCCCCCTCTACACGACACTGGTCAGGCCACAGCTGGAGTACTGTGTCCAGTTCTGGGCACCCCACTTCAAGAGGGATGTGGACAACATTGAGAGGGTCCAGAGGAGGGCCACCCGCAGGATCCGGGGACAGCAGGGCAGACCCTACATTGAGAGGCTGCGGGACCTGAACCTGTTCAGCCTTCACAAGAGAAGGCTGAGGGGGGACCTGGTGATCGTCTATAAACTCACTAGAGGGGACCAGAAGGGTTTGAGGGAGACCTTGTTTCCCCTAGCACCCCTTGGGATAACAAGGAATAACGGCCACAAGTTGTTGGAGAGTAGGTTTAGATTAGACATCCGTAGGAACTACTTCACAGTTAGGGCGGCTAGGATCTGGAACCAACTTCCAAGAGAAGTGGTGGTGGCTCCTACCCTGGGGGGCTTTAAGAAGCGGCTTGATGCCTACCTGGCTGGGGTCACATGAGCCCAGTTTTCCTCCTGCCCAGGCAGGGGGTCGGACTTGAAGATCTACGTGGTCCCTTCTGACCCTACTTCTATGATTCTATGATCTCTTAAACATGTAGGAATGCCCTTGTTAAATGGTTTTGGAAATTAAAATTACAATTTTTCATTTGCAAATGACTTTTCACTTAAAATTAACTTTATTTTGTATTTTAAAAAAATAAGAACTAGTACAGAAAGAAAAAAGTGAAATGAAACAGAACTAAAATGTTTTAAATTGTTGAAAGCAACACATTTCAAATAGCCATTCATTTAGAATTCTGTTTAATGGAGAATTTTAAAAAATTGGTTCTTCATCCTAATTTGGGATGATAAAAGTATTTCTAAATCTTATACTAGAGATAATCAAGAAGAAAAGGGAAGGATAGTTATCAGTAGTGACTCCAAAATAATAGAACCACCAGAATTCTTTCTAACTAGAAAACCAAAGAAAAGACACCTTAACAACTAGAAAGTGAAGGAAATCATGCTGGTATCACTGTTAATAAAAAGCAGGAAGGGAAAATACCTAGAAAAGCAGATTTCATTACAGGTGATGCAAGATCATATAGTATTTGCTAATAAACTTATGAGCCACTGACAATTAGGCTTGGTAGGTCAAGGAGTGGCAGATACTAATTAATGAGGAAGGAAGAGTGTTAAATGGATTTCTACTGTTTAAAAAATTCATTGGGGTGGGGGGCTTTAATAGTGACTATTCATGATGTCTCATGTCTGTGTCCAGTAAAGTAATGGAAAATAGATTATGAAAAAAGTATGTATAAACACAGAGAGGATGATAGAAGTGTGAAGAGAAAGAGGTAGTTAGCCATGTTAATCTGTAGAGAAAGAGGTAGTTAGCCATGTTAGTCAGTCAGAAGGCGAGATAGATATGCACTTTTATAGACTAAATAAATAAGCTATATATTGTAGATATAGAACATAAGCTTCTGTGGGCCAAAGCTTGCTTCCTCAGATGCTATGAAAGATGTGAAGAAAGCAGAGCATAAGGAGAGAAATTAGAATACAAAAGACAAGGCAGCAAGAGAGAGGGGAGAGACCATGAACAACAGTTCCATTATGCATTTAGAAAGGAAAACTCCAGTGCAAGAAAATTGGCACATTCATCCCTAGAGATAATACTATTTAGTGTTGAATATTCATAGTTCATAGTCTGGAAACAGTCATATTGAAAGGTATTTACATATTTAACTGTAATCCTAAACACGGACAGATTTGAGTACATGTTAAAATGTTTTCCTGAGCCAAAGCAAAAGGTATTATATGCATATAAACACATGTAAATAATATTTAAGCCATGTCTTATTTGAGTAAGTATCTCTCAAAATCT